TCAGTGTGGGTGTGCTGACATCAAAGAGCACAGGTTTGCAGGGGTCTGGCTTGGTCCTGGAATGTCCTGCCTGACAAAGGGGAAGAGAGTGTGGGGGCAGGAGCGCGGCGGAGTCAGGGGAGTCTGGTCCAGCACCCCTGGTCTACCCGCTGTAGCTAGGATAAGTGGCACCTTCTTGCTACCCCCCGCGGGTGGCTTGCGCTGTGTGGTTCATTTGGTTCCGACTAAATCAGAGGCGTGGCCTAGAACTCACCTGAATCCCTTTGGATGGGGCAAGATTTGGTACCAACCCAACTCTCTCTCCCTTAAATCCAAATACCCTAGCCACTAAGACAGTGGTTCTCAACCTTCTGGCCCTTTAAATACAGTTCCTCATGTTGTGACCCAACCATAAAATTATTTTCGTTGCTACTTCATAACTGTAATGTTGCTACTGTTATGAATCGTCATGTAAATATCTGATAGGCAGGATGGTCTTAGGCGACCCCTGTGAAAGGGTCGTTCGACCGCCAAAGGGGTCGCGACCCACAGGTTGAGAACCGCTGCACTAAGAGGACGATTTCTACAACACTCACAGGCCGCTTTTGATCAAGATGGTAAGAGATGGCAAAAAGGCACAACTTTGGAAATTGGGGGTTTTTGCCTTCTGCATAAGAAGCCCGCACCAGCCCGGAGAGGTTCCCGCTCTTGACTGTGTGGCTCCGACTGATAAAAGACAACAGTCCAGTTAAAGTAATAAGAGCCATTTTCCTTAAGAGGCCTTTTCCTCGTCCCATTATCTGTAATGCATGTTCTAATCTCATTTTTCTTCTCTGCACAATGAAGCTGTCTAGCGTAGTGCCTAGAAAGACGGGCCTGGGTTCAGATCCTGGCTCTGCCATTTAGTAGCTCTGCTCCTTGTGCAGGTTACCCTACATGTCTGTGGAGATGATAATGGCACCTGCCTTACAGGATCGTTGTAAAGACTACACGAGATCATATACACATGCCTGGCACACGGTGTGTGCCCCGTTAATGCTAGCTATTATTTGTTTAATACATTGTCATGGGATTTAGTAATGCATGTCACAGCTTGAGCCTTTGGAATCTATCACACCATAGAATGGCAAAACTGTGATGAGGTGTATTTTTTTTAACTTTTCAAACAAATGACTTTTATAAGCATACAAGGGCATACAGCTAAGCAGTTGAAAGATTTGCCCTCGAAAAGATTATAATTGAGTAGAAAGACCTGGAAGGATGAAATAAAAGCAAATGAATTATTTAAAAAAAAAAAAAAAAGGCCCTAGCCGGTTTGGCTCAGTGGATGGAGCGTCGGCCTGCGGACTGAAAGGTCCCAGGTTCTATTCCGGTCAAGGGCATGTACCTTGGTTGCGGGCACATCCCCAGTGGGGGGTGTGCAGGAGGCAGCTGACCGATGTTTCTCTCTCATTGATGTTTCTAACTCTCTATCCCTTCCCCTTCCTCTCTGTAAAAAAATCAATAAAAAAAATATATATATTTTAAAAGTACTGTTCCTTAAAGTACTGATAGCGCTGCTAATGACTGAGCTCCACGCTTCTATTTGCCATCGACACAGAGGCAGCAGGTCAGTGAAGCCTAGGCGTGATAAAGGGCAGCAGCTTTAAGAGGATGAGGCATCTTCTTGAGAGAGATTCATCATGCACTTGGTGATGCTTCTGTGGTGTGCCAAAGCCCTTAAGCGTGTCTTCTACTGATGGCAGCTTCCACCTGGGCAGCATGGAAGTTGCGGCTTGCTGCTCTTTCACGTGGGGACAAATGGACCGTGCTGGGTCCTGGAGCAGTACAGACCTCACCCCCTAGCACGGAACTGCCTCCCTTCCCAGCTCCGGAATGCTGTCGGATAGCTTTGCTCAGACTTGTAGCCTTCGCAGGTTTAATCCTTGCCTTCCAGTTGGCTGCGAAGGCCCCACTGAAGAGCTGTCCACGGCTCTTGCTAATTAATTTGTCTTTTGATATGGGTTGGAATGTGAACCAGAGCACAGAGAAAAGCAGTGGGTTTTGAGGTTAGGGTCATTGATTTGATTCTACTCTACTCTAGTTTTTCTTTTTTTCTTTCTTACCTTCTTTTTATCACTCTTCCTTTTGAGGGGGGTTCTTGGTTTCATATCAGCACAAGTTTGAGAAAGAAGGCTTTTTATTGTTCACAGCAGGGGTGGGGGATGAACGAGTCCCTCGGTGGGAGGGGTCTTCTTTTTGTCTGATAGGGCTTGGTGCTCCCGCTAGCCCCACCCTGAACTAGATCAGCTCCTTACTGCATGGTATCGTTCCAGGGGAAAGCATAGGCTTGGCATAGGATGTGTTTATTTCTTCACGTTCCGAATTCCCAGTGAGCAGTTAACCATCAGGGTTCTCAGTTTTCTGTAGTTCATTAATCTGCCATTATGCATACTCAAAGGCACTGAAAGAAAATGGCAATGAATTTATTATTTTTTAAAATTTATCTTTATTATTGAAAGTATGACAAATGACCCCCTTTTCCACCCATTGACCCCCCCCACTCCTACCACCTCCCCCGCCTTTACCACACTGTTGGCTGTGTCCATGGGCTATATGCATACATGCGTGTAAGTTCTTCGGTTACTCTCTTCCCGACACCCCTCTCCCCCGCCCTTCCCTCTGAGAATCCTCAGTCCTTTGCATGTCTCTGGATCTATTTTGTTTGTCAGTTTCTTTTGTTCATTAGATTCCACGTATA